CATTGGATTATTACCTTTGGGGAGCGGTCAAAGACGTTTGTTACGCCAACAAGCCAAGCACGATTGATGACTTGAAACATGAAATTGAAGTTGCCATTGCTGCCATAAGGCCGGAAACAATTGAAAATGTACTGAAAAATTGGACTGATCGAATAGGGTACTGCCAAGTAAGCTGTGGTGGACATTTGACCGAGATAATTTTTCACAAATAATGTCATGAATTATGCTTTCAAATAAATGTTTGATCATTGAAATCTATCGAGTCGTTCTTTTTTTATAGCCTTTTTAAATTCGAAATTTTCCGTGAGACACCCTATACATCCCAGAAATTACAGCGGTATTGTACATGAAGTTACGTGATTCACACTATAGATATCGCTGTTTGCTCGGCACTATATGAATTGTTTAACACATTACACATTTTTTTCTCAACCTAATTCCTATCTGTTATCATTATAATCATCATCATCAGCCTATTAGAGCTCATTGCTGAGCAAAAACCTCTTTCTCACACGGAGAAGCTTTGAGCATTAATCACCACGCTCGCTCAAGACGGGTTGACGATTTCCAACTTATAAGTCCAGGTTTGCTCACGATTTTTTCTCACCACCGTCAATCAGTGGTGTCTAAATACTCTTAGAAAGTAATGCCTCGGTAATATCGAATTGGTACTTGTCAGGTTTCAAATACGACAAACAAGTAATATAATAAATGTAATATTATTACGGTACATAATCTAAGTGTGCGTTGTTCTTTAAGAGTTTTTCTAGTAACTTTTTCTCGTCCGCTAATGGCCGACGGCCGTCGATTCTCAAATCCCGTAGCCTGATGAATTAAATAGACAAGTTAAGATATTTCGTAACATTTATTTAATATCGCCCTAATGACTTCTTTAAGGAATAATTTTTAAAAGAATAATATTTTTCCTCGTTGAACCAACCCGACCGTCTCGGGGTGGATTAAATTTAATATTTATCTCAATGAATAAGTTCCAGAGGCTTAAATGCCTCTCCTTAAAGTATTGCTCTGATATTGTTTTACAGATTTAATATTATATAAGCTAGGAACAGAATAAGATATATTATATTTATTTAACATTCAAAGAGATGTTCATTATATCATTATCATATCATAATGATACAGATATTATATCATTATCATATCATAAAGATACTGATAAGTGATATTTTTTGGCAAATGTTTAATAATAATGTAGTTAAAAATAATAACTATGAATGTAATTTGATCAAAGTTTTAAAAAATTAGTTGACATAATAAACCTATGTAAACGTCCAACGAAACAAGATAACAAACGTAAACAAACAATTTTCCGACCGTCTCATTATACTGTAAATTGATTTGTAATAAGGTTTTTTAAACGACATAGAAAACAAATAAGATGAAATCAGTGATATCATAGTAATGTCATATCATAGTTATATCATATCATAGTCATATCATATCATTATCATCAACAACAAACGACATCAGTTTATAAAAGTAAAGCCGTAAAGTCTCAATGATAATTCCGTGTGGGCTACAAATAGTCTTAATTTATGACATGGGCGTGTTGTGTAGTAATGGACGCGTGGTCGGTCTAAGTGCACTAATACTGAGATCAACTTCATTTTTATCACCGCGCTAATTGTCTTCCTCTTGTTTATATATAATATTGTATGATTATAACATTTGTTTAGCAATATATGTATTATCTATCTAGTATCTTTTAAATCATTGGTCAATAAAACTTTGTTATTTTGTATTTCGTAATACTAATTGGTACAATGACAATAATTAGCATTTTTATAAAGAACTCTCTTTGTCTCTCTCTTTCCCCCTTCCCCTTCTTACTCTCAATATATATATATCAGTACCTTTATTTCTATATATATTATTAAATTTGTTTTTACGTGGAATACCATACATACTATTAGATATATCAAATAATACATAAAAACTATGATTTTCATACTAAGTTTATTATATACTTGACTGAATATATACATATATAATACAATAGCAATATTAAGGACTATTAATATAATGAAATTCCGTATCAGTCAATAATGTATAAAGTATTCATGGTGATCGCATTAGCGGTTTACATGTCACGAACTAATCTCGGCGGTGTTGGTGGAATCAATCAGGATATTGGATGCGACCTATAGCTCGCTACACCCGGCTTTACTCGCCTCCTACAGCTTATAAACAATATACACATATATGTATTAGCATTATCGACGGAAAATAAGTTCAGGCTGCCATCAATAATTATAAAAATATGTCAGTAGTATTAAAACGATATTATAAGATATTTCAAAGGAGATAAGAACTATGTTTGAATTATAGTATAAATGCGATGTTAAGACGCACGATAGTTGAATTTAATTCGTGCGGACCATTGAAGAATGTGATTATGAAGAACCTTTTAGAAATACAAGACTATTTAGAAGAATTCAAGATTCTTTTGAAATATCACTGAACGTACAGAAAGAAGTAGCATCAGTGACGTCAGTAATGATGACGTCACTCTCTTTGAAAACAACGGATTAGTATTAAATCTGATTTTAACTATTGGTTTCATCGTAATTGTGTAACAAACATACCGACATACAGTGTTATTTATTAATGATTTCTTATATAAAACGATAATATCAAAACCACCATCCATCATATAAGATGTCAACATAGTTTAAAGAGCACCAATCCCAGTTCGTATTCACGTGTAAGACAGCCGGTTTCATTTCATTGCACGCGGTGAATGTAAGACGGTTTAAACATTTCTTTTTGTGGCTTAGATTGCGGTTATTACTAACGATGTCGACATAGAATAATGTTGCAGACCGTACACACGAGGTAGAGGAGAGAAGATAGATTATATGAAAACAATGTCCAACGAAACAAGATAAAAGTTGTAAACAAACCACTGTTTTGACCAATTTATATTTATAGAGAAGAGAAGATGGACGATGATATAATTAATTATATGAAACCAACGTCCAACGAAACAAGATAAGTATTGCAAAAAAAAAAACAGTATGATTGATTAAATATACCTTAATATATGTTACAGAAAGAAAGGTTACTTATAAAACACAACAAAACAAGTGTAGTAACATATCATATATATTGAAACATATTATTCTATGTGATATAGAAAAATATATACATATTATAAAATCTAAAAATCAATAAGTTGAAAGCGCTATATAATAGAGAATTTTCTATGAGAAGAAATATTAACAGAGGGTTTTTATATTAGTTTATATACAATTGAGTACTTTATTGCATGAGTTATAATACCGTTGAAATTTGATAAAAACTATTCGATTTCACATAGACATACGAGCTACATTAAGATAAATTAATTATAAAGATCGGTGTTTTACAAATTACATATACCATAGTATTATGTATATCACAGTTTTTTCACACTAAATAACTCAATGACTCAAAGACAAAGAATTTTATTGCATACTAGCTGTGTCCGCGACTTCGTTCGACGTGATTCTTTAATTTGACATAACTTTTTTGTTTATAAACTGATGGACATGAAACAAACACTAAAGCATAACTGAAGCATACCACAATATATTCGTGGAAACCGCATCTAACTTGGATCAGCCGTTTCTGAGAATAGCGTGAACAGACAAACAGACAAAAAAAAAGTTAATAACATTTTTGGGTTCGACATCGACATAACAATAACCCCTGCTATTTTTTTATTTTTATTTTCAATTTACAGACAGCACTTTTCTACAATTTTATTATATGTATAGATTATTGTAATTTACAGAATCGACACCTTTATATATAATCTGTATATAACTAGCACCTACACATATATGAGTGTGTGTGAAAATTATCCAATAAAATACCCATTAAATGTTTCTATTCTACCTATTAGTATGATCTGTATGTTAATCTATGTACAGCCTAAAAGCTCTTCCGCGCCGACAATGCGACTAAGATTGTACAAACACAGTTTTAATTAGGCATTTGTACGAATTGGACTCCAAAGTGTTTCAACTGTGACGTCTCTATTGCTTGATGGGATTTCATAATGATGTTTAACGTGTGTATAATATTAACATGTATATATATAATATATATGTATATAATTGTTAATTATTGCTATTAAATATTCTTTGTATAAAGTTATTCGCATTTTCAGTGTATATTGTAGTATATAAAAATATTTATCGTCATATGAATTTGGTGCTTTGAAGTAATATAGTAAGTTGCTTATGCTAATAAAGTGATGTAATAATTATTATTTTCATTAAAAATTTTCTAATTTATATCGAAAAAAAAATTTTTTTTTTATGACGAAACTTTATATAGTAATACATATGAAGCTTATATAAAGCTTTATCGTATGCGTTGATAATGGTATTGGGTTCTATCATAAATGAAGTGTTCATAAAATGAAACTGAAAGGCAGCGCCATCTATAGTCAGTGTCACGTTACGTTAAACAAAATACACCTTTCATGGGTTAATGCCGGGAACTACAACTATTTTAGAGATTAGTTATATCCCATATCTCATTCTGATAGCTGACCTACACTGTTAGAGAGTTTCATCAAAATCTGCTCAGTAGTTTTTGCATGCAACAAACAGTGCCATAACTAGGGCGGTGCCAACAGTGCAAAGGCACAGGGCGCAGACCCTGGAGGGGCGCAGAAATGACCAGACTAGTATCTAGTTTTATGCATGGTAGATATATACTTTGTTACTTTGGTAAACAATAAATAGATAGATTTATTTGTATGCACATTTGTCCATTTTATTTTCAGAGCCTGGTTAAAGCAATTTCAGGGGCGCAATTTTGAAAGCTCGCACCGGTTGCATAAAAGGCTAGTTACGGCACTGGTAACAAATATTATTATATCTTCATAATTTTTCCCATTGTATATATCTTAAAATATAAGATTTTTAAGATATATAGGCTTATGATATATATGTATATATGTTTTTATATATGTATATATAACATACCTGAGGTAAGGCACGTTCTATAGCTTTAGGCTGTAACCGCTGCAAGTGGTTAGGTAATCTGGACTCTTTAACTTCAACCGATGGAACTTCTTTTTTTGAAACTTTTCTTTCACACTTCTCTGGTCTACCGGAAGATCTATTCATCTGGTAATAATATTAATATATTAACAATTGAAGAGATTTTTTTAGCAAGATATTCTCATATATATATGGAGAAAGAGAATTCTTTATAAAATTGTATAAAATAGAAATTTACAAGGATTTATTAACCAATGATGAAAAAGATAAATATTATAGATAATTTGTTAAATTTAATCTAGCTTTCCAATACTTTTATTAAGTGACATAGTAGAATATTTTTTTTAATATTGTAAAACAACTAAGAAAAGGAAACAAAGTTTTTTTTTGTTAGTCGTATATGATTCAGTATAAAGTTATCTACAGTTCTGCTATTACATATTTTTATACATGAAACTCAATTTATCATCTATGACACACATAATAGTCGAAAATGAAAAAAAAACTTTTCTCTCCCAGTAACTCAAAAATATATTATTTAAATTATACAATCCTTACTTAAATATTTATATTATATATTTCATGTTAAGCACACATATATATATTAACCTATACTAACTATAACTACTAATTATATTACCATTTCTTCGTTCCGTCTAATCACTTCTAATTGTTGTTGTGCGGCTATCGTTTGTCTAACGGCTGGTGAAGGACGCATTCTGTCTTCTGGACCTGCAAAAATATATCTTTTAATATATTAAAGGACTAATGTCCGAGATAGAGTTTCAGACTTGATTTTTAATGTTCAATTACTTCCAGTAATGTCTTAGACAATGGCTGACACCACTATTTATTTTTGAAATACAAGTTGGTACTTCAATTTTGCAATTAATAAAATTACAATGATTCAGTATTATACTTAATGTGTAAAATAATTGTAAGGATTATAGTATATTATAAGTAGTACGGCAAAGATAGCGCCACTTGTAACACTATATGTTGCTGGAAGTTTCTGCTAGTGTATTTCTATAACAGCTGGTAAAATTTTATAAATATACACTATTTTTTGTAAGCTTTATTCATGATTCATTTGTTTTCTATTCATGTTATTTTCTATAACAATTGTACAATATACATAATTATTATATTTATGATAATTATACATATATGAATATAAAGATTATTTTTAATCATTGTTCAGTCAAGAAAGTGAATTAAAGCTTTTTACCTTTTTTAAATTTATTCATCTATGTTACAAGACAATTTTGATAGAAATGTAAAATTATGCTTAACTATAACTGTAATATTCATTCTTTACTATTTAGACCTTAGTACCGCTACTATCAAAACTATAGTACTATAAGTCTCACCGAACAAAGCCAGTCTATATACATCAGGTTCTATAACATGTTCGTAGCCATTCTGTTCGCGTCGCTGTATGTATGTCAGTCCGTAATCACACATAGCTCCGGCACACGACAGTACAGACTTGCGTTCACTATCAGAACACAACTGGAAATAAATAATGTGGATTATTTTACTATAATTTATATTGAGTGCAGGAAGAAATTATTAATTGATTGTTTTTATTTGCATTGATATTGGGTATAGAGAATTAATATGTATAATCTGTCACGTGGCTTTATACGAAATATGACTGTTCTCTAAGGAATTAAAATAATTATAAGAATAAGTTATGTAAACTGGGCGTCTAAGCTATGTTATGGAGAAAAATAACTACGAAATCGGTCCAGTAGTTTTCAGTCACAAGTGTAACAAACATACAAGCTCACAACCCATTCTATTTATTATATAATACACAAATAATAATATAATTTTTAATATTAATAATTATTGTTGTTTAATATTAAATAATTGCTGCATAATAACCTGTATATTAGCGGATCTTAGTACTGGTGACAACAAGTATGGCAGGAGTGGAATAATATCTAGCTTGAGAGATTTCTTCGTGTTGTAAACAGTTGATCCGCGCCATATGGACCACAAGATGCTGTCCATCTCCGTCTTCTTACGGGACATCTGGAAATATGTGTATGGATCAAAATATATATGAATTTATATATATAAATAATCGTTTTTTGCCCGCGACTTTGTCTGCGTTAGTTTCAGATTTAGAAATGTATAGCTGACCGGGCAAACTCTATTCTTCCTTAAAAACAGTAGATAAGAAGATTTTGGATTTGAAAAACTTATTTTTGTTTGTTTTTCAATCAGATGAAAAGTACCCTATATCCTTTCCCTTGTTCTCAGCTATCTCTCCACTAATTTTCACCTAGTTCAGTACAGCCTTTTTTGAGTTATAAATAGTATAATTAACGCGACTTTCTTTTATATACACATCATCATCAACATATCAGAGAGACTATTGCTGAGCAAAGGCCTCTTTCTCACATGGAGAAGGTTTGAGCATTAATCACCACGCTTGCTCAAGACGGGTTGGTGATTTCAAACTTATAATTGTGAAACTATAAGTCCAAGTTTCCTCACGATATTTTCCTTCACCGTCAGTCAGTGAAATCTTAATACTCTCAGAAAGTACATATGACTACAACATCTATTCTATTTTACGCACGATGAATTATTGTAAACGTTTTTGAAAGATCGTTTTTTCTCCAAATTAAAGCCTGACACGCCGGTAGCATCAGATAAATAATATGAATTAAATTAAACTGATTAAAAATATTTGTTTAAAATAAAAGATATCATTGCAATGTATAAAAATTACTATAGAAGCTTTCTAGAAACTTCTTATCTTAACTAAATCCCTAATAATATTATAAATGCGACAGTAACTCTGTCGGTCTGTCTGTTACGCTTTCACGCCTAAACCACTGAACTGATTTTAATGAAATTTGGTACAGAGATAGAGTCGACCTTGAGAAAGAACATAGGATAGTTTTTATCCCAGACTTTTGAAAAATTCTCTTGGAAACGCGATATAACCGAACTCCACTCGGGAGAAGCTGCGGGCGGAGGGCTGGTTTAAAATAATAATAACTAACATAGCTGTAAGCCTTTATAACCTTGTTGTAATAACTGATTGTTTTTTTTGGCACAAGTATTACTTAGAAGAAAACCTAAAATAAACAAATATATAACATAAAATACCTCCTGTGACGTCATAGGGAATTTCACTCTCGTTGGTTGTCGGGTAGCCAGTATATCGTGACCCCTAGCTAGTAGGGTAGGCAGTACTCCGTACATACTGTAGTTTGATGTACGTAGGATCCAGCTATTTGTTATGTCGAACAAAGCCAGCAGTTCGCTTATGGCGCAAGAAACCAGAAGTCTGGAATCTGAACGGGAACATGGGTAGTTCTCGAAAATACCGTCGGCTATTCTGTAATTGTTAGGAATAAGGTATTAATATATAACAGTACTACATATCTTTATATATAATACTTCTGTGAGTGTGTGTGTCACTGAACTTCTTTCAAACAACTGAACCGATTTTGAGGAAATTTTTTGTATGTGTTCAAGGGGACCTGGGAATGGTTTAGATTCACAATATTGTCCGCTGGACAGTTTTTTTAATTTATTTTTAATTTATTAGTAGTTGTTGATGCAAACTTTTTTTTGACATTAGATTTGACAACTAACATGTCAATCATTCTGTCGCACTTCAAAACACGGAGATTTATGGCTTTAATAGGTAAACTCCAAAAATATAAATAAAAAAACGTAAAAGATATTTCTTGATTATGGGGCGATACGAAGTTAGCCGGGCCTTCTAGTATATGTATATATTCTTACCATGCTTCCTTAGCTGCGTGGACATAAAAAACTATTTAGAACACATCTATAAATATCTAAATTGCTATAATTTTTAGTTTATCGTTATTAACTAATTGATTAGAAAAATATGCAGTAACAGTTAACTACAGAATTAAAATAACTTCAAGATTAAGGAATCAAGAATATAAAGTAATCTCTCAGAATTGAATTTAGCAGACCGTTGATGAATTATTCCTAATATAAATGAAAATGCATAATTAATAATCCACAGAGACAAGGCGTTCAAAGTGATGTTCGCAAATGGTCATCTAAAAGATAGCAGGTTTAAATTTTTAAAGTGAAACTTCTTATGTGACTTTCTACAAGGTTGAGTTAAACTTTTAACGCTCCTGAGGAGAGGAATAAAAAAAGATGCAACATGAATACATGCATGCAATTCAATTGTGACTTGTAAGTAATATTAATAAAGTTTGTCTTAAAGAGACAATAAAAATTCCTTAAAAATCAATTTCTACTCCTTCCTGTTTTCATTCCAACACTACGAAGCTTCACTTCTGCCACAAAACGACTCCACGAACTACATATTAACTTTTTGTAACCTAATTAATATCTCATAATATATTTAATATTAAAAATATGTTAAATAACCTTTCATACTCTCCAGCCGCCTGAATAACCTTCAATACAGCCTCATGATCATTATTGTTGAGAGTGAATATTGTTTGTAGAGCTTGCATTATACTTTGAGAGTTGTCTTTGGTACCAATCGCTATATTTTCTACATCTTCTACTTTAATCTGAAAAAAGACCACATAAATTAAGAACTTCCGCCAATTAAGCAAAAAGGCCCTTAAATTATCACCACTTATCGTTTGTTTGATATCGACTAATATAATTCAGACATTAAGCTTGGACATCACTAATAATATTCGTATCGTCTTCAATTCTATTAGAACATTTAACTTAAGTTTTAACTATTATATTAGTCCCAGTAAGTCATAATAGGGTCTCGTATTATAAGTAGTGTATTGTTTAGTTACCTTTGTTAAGTAAGTACATGTAAGTTGTAAAATGTAAATACCTGTAATTGTGTATCATACTGTACAAGTTTTCTTTTTTGTTTTTTTCCCAAATATGATTTGTGAATATGGCGATGGTATTTCAATAAATAAATAAGTGTCTATTTACCTGGTCCCCATTTTTTCCTCCAGCCCTCAAGAAACTCAACGCGTGTAATGCTGACCGTACATCGCCTCTTGCTCTTGCTGCAAGTGCAGTTAAAGCCCTTGCAGCAACATAAACCCGTTCACACTTGGCTACTAGCGTGAGTCTTGAGCTTAGACGAGTTGAACATACGGCACCCACACTCACTATTAGAGATATAGGCCTGAAATGATTATTTATTTATTTATTTTATTTATTTATTTTATAGGATCACCAACAGAAATGACAATAGTATGACAAAAATTATATAGTTAACAATTGAACACACTTGATAGTTGTATTTCTTTTTATAGGTAATCACAGCATGCACTAAATATATTAAACATTAGTAATTATCAAAAGATTGTTTTCTTTGGATTTCTATTATATGATAATTGAGAGAAACTTAACGTGCAAAAGAGATATAGTTGATTTATAGTTGATTGCATTAAATTTTCTGTATAACATAGTAGGGGAGAGTTGGTTATATCGTACTAGCATTTAAATCGTACCACTTCTAAATTTCCCATTTAATGAATATTTTTTTCTACACTGACAATGCCAAATCGTGGCCCTCCACCATCCTTCTTCACCCACTAGTTTAAATCGACGTGAGTTAACAACTGGGCACGTAATAAAAGAAAAACCTTTTTTGTAGGAACTATGTAATATAAATATTGTCGTACATTCGTAAGGAGATAACTCGTAATTAAGGTAAGCTATAGTTATTCAGTTTTTTTATTATTCCACAATTGCATACCTGATTATTGGGGGTTTTTGTTGTGTGTCTGAGTTTTGAGTTTATGCCGGATATTTGCTTTTGTTTTAGAAATGCCTTAGTTGGTTTAATCGTACCACTTGCAGTTGGTTAAATTGTACTGGTACGATTTACCCGACTACCAACCGCAAGTACCTATAGTAATACCGCAAGTACGTATAGTAAGTACTACCCAAGGCCAAAAACAAAAGTTATAAGAGGAAACGATCTCATTCCATCACCAGTAGCGATGATTCAGGAGAGACACTTGTTGTAGAACTAGATGATGATGATGACAGATTATCTTGAAAATATATGTCGAAAGAGCAACTGTTCTTACTACATATGATAAGAAGGCTCCAAAAGTTGATTGGATTCAGTGCGTTCGCTGTAAACGGTGGCTACATGAGACGTGTACTTCGAATCCAGACATTTGTCATGATTGTTTCCATTAAGCAATATGCACAATAATTATATTACAAATAACATTCTCGTTAATTGTTACTTTATTATTATAGTTTACTGTTTTTTTTGTCTCATTTTTATTAGTTATATTGATTGATCTCATTATCATAGTATAATCATGTTATTTTACTGAGAAAGCTTATAGTTCCTTTATATAACCTAAGAGTTAAAAATTATGTTTCTATTACCTAAAAGATATAAATAATGTTGTTTTATTACTTACCTAACAGTTAAAAATAAATAACTTGATTGAGAATTTTAATGTCTTTCATTCAATGGTACGACTTAAACACCCATGGTACGATTTAAACACCCATGGTAGGATTTAAAAACTTAGTGGTACGATTAAAACAACTAGTCGGCTAAATCGTACCGATGGCAAGCCTCTATAAAAAAGCATTTTTAACAATGTTAGAATAATCGCAAGGATCTGTTCTCTTCTTCTTAGGAAGCTAAAATATGAAACTTTATTTTACATATGTATTAATTATTATAAGACGTGTTATATTCGAAATATTTGAGTTACAGTGAAAAGTGGTACGATATATCCGACTCTCCCCTACATATAATGAATCACATATCAAACAAATAGTTTAGAATCAAAATTAAGAAACTTTATAGAAACATTATTTATCTTCAACTAGTATTCATTACTCTTTAAGATATAAAAGATCACAATTTTAAGATAGTTATCTTTAAAATGAAGAAATATACATACAATTTTTATTTCTACTAATGCATGTCGAAAAAAATGCTAAATTCTTTCCAACGAAACTTTATAAAGCAATATATGTCATACAAATAATAATAATATGGTCATACCTCAAAGGCCTAAGAGACGTAGCATATAAATCATTACATATAGCTATAACAGGTCTCTTTAACACATGCACCCTGCTTTTCTTTTTGCCTTCATCTTTCTTAGCTGTACACCACCTCACTAATAACTCTACTGTTTGTATCGGAGCTCCGTCTATTTCATCTACAAAACAAAAAAAGTTTTATTACAATATGTAATGTCACATTCAGCTTAAGAGCTACTAAATATGATTGTGACGAGACGCGACGAAACCTCTTGGTATCCAATAACGGAACTTCTCATCATTCTATTCACCGTGCGTGTGTCGGGTCCATCGTTGTAGTGAAAGGAGCTTCAACAGTGTCTGGGACTTGCGACCCAGGTGTAGGTTTAAGAGAGCCTTATCTAACGTGTGTCATACGCTCACCTACACCGTCCAAGCTCCTCTCTCTACCAAATTTGAAAAGAACCTACTAAAGCTGCCTTCGACGTACGTTACTAGAATGAATTAATGCGAGTTCTGGACAGGCCCAAGTTTTTCAGTAGGTTAATATGAATTTAAATTTCAATACGGTGTGATAAAACTTTTATATTGTCATAAAACTGATATAAAATTTTATGTACATTGCTTGCACTAAACAAAACAATACTTTCCAATGTCGAAACTAAAGTACAAGACTATTACATTTATATATTATACTAGCTTTCCGCCCGCAGCTTCGCCCGCGTGGAGTTCGGTTATATCGCGTTTCCAAGAGAACCTATCAAAAGTCTGAGATAAAAACTATTGTATGTTCTTTCTCAAGGTCAACTCCATCTCTGAACCAAATTTCATTAAAATCAGTTCAGTGGTTTAGGCGCGAAAGCGTAACAGACAGACAGACAGAGTTACTTTCGCATTTATAATATTAGTAGGGATTAATTGTTCTTTGTAATAATACTTCTAACATATATTCTAACTCGATACAAATAAAATCACAACATAAAAAGGCTACTCACCCAATATCAAACAGTTAGGTCGTTTCTCAGCATCCAAAACAGATCTCATGAGTGTAGCGCTCTGTAAAGCGTTTTTAAACTGATCCGTACTCCTTTCATCTGACGCGTTCAGTTCCACCGGCCTATAACCTTGAGATGATGAAAGATATGTTAAAAAATTAAATTATTGCTTTTAAGAAAAAAAAAAACATTTTTTTAAATATAAATGTAAGCATTATAACCATTTAAAATATCATTGAAACTGTCCACCTTTTTTTATGGGACAAGGTGGCAAACGAGCAGACGGCCCACTTGACGGAAGGTGGTTACCGTCGCCCATGGACATCCGCAACATCTTGGTTGCGGATGCGTTGCCAACCTTGTTTTTAGGGATAGGGAGAGTGGGAATAAGGAATTAGGAAGTGGTAGGAACTGGTAGGAATAGGGAAAGAGCAACCGGCTCTCTCAATCATCGGACGAAACGCAGCCAGTAAAGGCTACTTCACGCCGATCTTCTGTGAGAGGGTGATACTTCCCCGATCGAGCCAGCCCATATTCGATCTGTAGTAACTGAACACAGCTAGGCTCTACCATTTATAACAAAGTAGCCACTACATATGAAATATAGTAGCCAGTTACTATTACTCCCTATTTAAAGTCATAAACATCTCCATAACACACCAGCCAATAGTCATAAAACATGGTGGCCAGTTACTATTATTACTAATTTAATTTCATACCCATATATAAAATGCACCAGCCAGTACACATTTAACACAGTAGCCAGTTACTATTACCACCTATTTTACGGTTTTAACCTACCAGCCAGTCTAGCCAGTAGATGCGCCAATGTAGTTTTGCCCACACCTGGAGGTCCACATACTAATGCCACTTTATGATGTGGTCTGCCATCTTCATCCATTTCCGGTTCATCTTTCTTGCCACGCCACTTGTTGCTCATTTGGAACTGTCCGGTTCGTTTGCTGAATGAATTACGTTGTTGGGGCTCAACGGTTTTGAGATCTTTGTTAAAAACTATCTAGAATTGATAAATAAAATAACGTTATTTATTTAGTAAACAATTTTTTTGTTTATTTATATTATATAACTATAGCTCAGGAATAGTATTTTGATTAAATTTCGTAAATAAAAGCGATCTAAATTACTTTTTATTCGATCTATCTTAAAATGAAACTGCCATAGAAATCAGTCTGGAAGTTTTAGATATTATGTGGAACAGAGAGACAGAAAGACAGACTAATATTGTAAAAAAATATTAAAATTTATGTATTTGCAACATTGAGTATTCAATGTTTATATGTAATACAGCCAACTTCAAATGGCAAATGACATGACTTGGAAAAATAACATTGGCATTTGCCAGATTTTTAAACCCCTTCCTTTAACCTCTACAACAACAACCTTTTGATGATGATAATAATTAATTACGACTATAATAAAAACCATGTGGCAACCCTGGCTAAAGCTGGGAGGTTGCCAGAAAGAAGAAGATAATACAAATCATGTATAGCACATATATAATATACAATATTATCACCTTATCCCACAAATGAAGCCAGTGTAATAAACACCTATTCACAGGTTCTTCTGATAACAAATCAATGTAGGACTTAGGTTTGTACTTCTCAACCCAGAGATCGGTGAAGTCTTGTTTATCATTAACTGTAGTTTCTTGAACTAAATCTTGTTCAATTCTATTTTTCTTGGCTTCCAACTGAAAATATTGTAAGAAAAGTATTTATTATAGATTTCTGTTAAAGGAATTAATAGCTAACTTAAAATCATAGACTATATGTGTGGGTTACATGCATTAACAGATCGTGTATGGCATGTCAAAATTTTTAAACATATATTTTCATTGGTTAATATAATATTCCAATATAAATAGTTCTTAAATCTGAAAAACCGTTATAAATAATTAACATCATTTAAATCAAAAGTAAATGTATTGATATTAAACAACTTTTGTTGCTATGGCTTGATTTGCACTGAAATCATGGAATATTTTGCAAATGTTAATGTTTTTATTTGTAGGGTGAATTATATTCTTGAGTACTGTCTGGAGTTTTAAGTTTGTATATACAAGATAAACAAATACTTTCAATAAAGATATTCTAGAAAGAAATAAAAAGATAATATAAGACAGAAATGCAAAATTACTATTAGCATTAATTAATTTTACAGGTTTTGTGTGTACACATACAGTTTTAAAATCATCTTTTTAGTTTTTATACATTCATGAACATTCACTAGAAATTATTTATTTTCTAAGTCAATAAGTTTTAAATTTGTGAACCCCTGATAAATATCAAATAAGAAAAAATTGCTATGAAATTCTATTTGAGTTATATGTTGTACTTGTAACATACTATTTTCCGAGCTTCCTCCCAAACTGGTGTGAACATGGATTTCAAAGAAATCTGATCTGGTGCAAGATCTAAGGACTCTTCCCAGCTGTCCTCGGACTCCATGCGAACATACACCCTATCACCATCCCAATTTGTAAATGGCATGAACGCCCACCTATAAAAGAACATTATATACTATTAAAATAAACTTAAAATTAAGGCATATATTTTTATAATGATTTACTGATGATTGAATTGAAGCTATATATTCACTAACACTTAAAAATCAATTATCAAACATTCTACTAAAATAATTTTATAAGACAAGTAAAATATTTCATTAATATAGAAATAAACTAAATATTCTTCAAGCATGACTGTTCTATATAAATACTTACTTCGGAATTTTCAGTGATAAGTTTTTACTGACATTATAATTAGACATATTATCCAATAATGCTCTATTAGGTTCTGATAGCATTTGTCTCATTTTCCGACTCTCAATAATCTTGTTGATTAATTCTAAATCATTTTCTTCTTCGGTCTTTTGTCTTTTACTCGGTAAACCTAAGTCATCAAAGTCTATGTCATTGATGTCACCGAAAAGATCTTCAGCGGTTCTCTTAGTTGGAATTGAGCTTATTATATCTGTTTGAGATTGATAGCTTTCTGATAAACTTGACGCATTTGCACTACTTTGTTGAGTATGTAAAAGCGGTTTTTGTACTGGACTTGAGAAATCAAGACTTCTTTTCGCTGGTAAAACCTTATTTTTGATTTTTTTTGAATCTGTAATTCAGAAGAATGTTATATGAGCATCACATGCGTACTATTGGGAGTTATATCAAGTAACTGGCATATAACTGGATATACACTTAATTCTAAAGAATTATAGTAATAGTAATAAGTAATTAAATGACCTGTGCCATCATCAATCTCACGAATTAATTCAAGATCATCAGAATACATAAGTTCATATTCTTCATCAGGGTCTGGAAAGTCTCCCATGATAAAATTGTATAGAATAAATGATTTAAAAATTGTAGGGTGAATTTCTTCTGTATACTTGGGATGAAAACTTTAAATACACTACTCCAGTAACTGTACACTTTTTCTTAATATATTTTTTATCACACTGAATTCTCTTATAATATAATTATAAGTCTATTTAACGTAAATAAAGGTATAAAAATAAAATAAATAAACAACATATGAAAAAACCGCCAATATAATTTTACTTTGACATTGACATTTCTAATTTGAAGTTGCCACATGGAAAATGTTGCAAATAATTATATAACCTATGGTTACCGCACTAATGTTAGTCACCTCCCAAGTTATATGAGTGTCGGGCCAAAAGAGAGAAAAAACATAATATATGTAACTCATTATGTCTTGATATAATATAATTGTATTCGTAAAGTGAAAAATATAAATATCCTACAATGGGTTTAGCTTTACTTAAATTATTACCACAATTAACAACAATGATTTCCCCTTAAATCTGCACATTTTTTCATAGAAGAAAAGACGAAAATTAATTAAAGACTAATTAAATCCTTTTAATGATTCTATTTCGACGAAGCTCTATTTATGTAAGTGACCAAAAACTTCAACTTAACTGTTGTTACAGATGATTCAATTAAGAATCTAATATTCCAGGTCAATAATATCCACAACAGATAACAGAAAATAAAAGTTAACCTATCTAAGCCTTGGCAAAAGAGAACGTACCTGTTACAGTAAAGCAGAATTTAATACTATTTCTATCCCAGGTTTAAAGTTAGGATTGCCAGATCGATTATTCCTGTTATCGGGATCAATAACTGATTTTTCGGTATTTTACGGTCGGGAGAAATAAAAAATAAGTTAATTAATTAATAATATTAATTATACATAATATATTAAGTAAAAAAATTTTTGCATTGCACTGTAGATATAACAAAAAAACATAGTAGGTATTATTGTCACATAAGATAAGAACCGAGTGAGCATGTTTATTGTTTTTGTTCTTGCCATAAGTATTTGTTATTTTTTTTTACCACGTTTAACAACTTTTGAGCTTTATCGCTATTCAAAAAGGTCTTAAAATTTAAACAATTTTCGTCAAATTCAAATGAAATTATTAATTCCACCTTTATTAAATCCATACTCATTCGGTTCCATTCTTTTGAGTATAAATTATTAAGTATACTAAACACTCGTTCGCAGTAAGCGTTACTTACTGGAATAGAAAATATAAAACATACAATTTTGGTTAGATTTTTAACTTCAACGCAGTTTCTTATAAAATATGCCCATAGCTTATCATTTGTCATTTTATTTTTTCTTCTGGAAGGCGATTGAAATTAAAAACTTCTTTTAAAGAACAATAATCACTATACAAATGGTCGGTGTCAATATCATTTACAATTTTTAATTTTTTTATAAATTGTAAGAGCTAACTCCATGTGAACAAAGTTTCTTTTTTTAATGAAAACTCAGATAGCATTTTGTATAAAGAATCCTCACTAAAATCCAAACGTTCTTTCAAATACCTGATGGCCCTTTGGAAAAACTGTTCTGCTTCTTTGTTAAAATTTTCTTTTTCGGCGTTTGGCAATTTTGTTAAAATGGACCTATTTTTACTTCCATAAAATTTGTTCTGTAATGGGCTTTTTAGTTGGTTCAACAGCTTTCTCATAATACCATCTATTTCCAGAATAGTACATAAATCATTTTCCAATGCCAATTACATCAGTATTCAGATGTGAACGGTTTGTTATCAAGAGTATCTTAACAGATACTTAAATAAGAAACAGGTTTGTCCTTGTAATGTATGCAACTCAAATTTCAAATAAACATAAGTATTTTATTAAAATAATAATTATGAACCTGTTTTTCGGGAGATTATTTGCTTTGTCAGGAGTCGGGAGGACATACAAAAATCCCGACAATTCCCGACCGTCTGGCAACCCTATTTAAAGTACGAACGTTCAAATATAATTAAAAAAAAGAGTGTGTACTTATGTACACGTTAGAAGTTATACTTGTTTGGCGTAAAATTCAATCTCATCATTTTTCTGCATCGCGCCAAAAAGAGTGTTACTTCAAAAATTTTATGATAATAAAGGAAACCAAAATTATATAGGGTGGCAACTGGAGGTTCCAGGAAAACTACGAAACATACTTATATGTATATTAAAATTTGAATTACATGTTAATACTTATAACCTATACCTAAGACTACATGATTGCCCCGATGTTAGGATGACAATGACATTCTTTTTCTATGGGAAAAGGGGGCAACCGAGCAGACGGCCTACTTGATGGTAGGTAGTGACTGTCGCCCTTTGACATCTGCAAAGTAGATATGCAGATGTGTTGCCGCCCTTGTTTGGGGAAAATGGGGAGTAAAAGGTGGGAAAGGGAGGGAAATGAAAGGGTGGGAAAAGGGAAAGGGCATTCTATTGCTTGTATGGTGTAAGGAATCTTCTTGTTCACACGGCTTGGTGTTCGTTCCGCTGAGTCAGCGGCGTCACTCGTTTATGATATTTTACGATACAAAGATGTCTCCCCGGCGATGTTCATTTTTTTTCTTCATATGTAGCGCGTACGTAACACCACTCTAAATATTGACAATATTAACAACATTTTGACACAAAGAATTTATGATTTTCTGTACAAAACAACTCACTGATATTGTCTTGGAAGATAGGACGAAAAGAAGAGAACTGAATAAGATATTTTAGAATGAGTAATTACATGAAATATTCAGGAAATAATAATAGTCGTTTGTGACAACAGAGTATAGAGTAATGGAAAATCTACGATCTAGAAATTGCTTAAATTTTTTATATATCCTCCGTGAATATATGTGGCAGTTTCTAATCTGTTTAATAATATTTTTTTTGTGATATGGACGCAAAATTCAAAACTAATTACAACTACTTTAGTGTCTGATTACTTGCATCCTCTTTTTCTTTAAACAATAAGTTTGTCCAAATAAAAAGTATTAAACTTGAGTAAACTCGAGAAAGCCAAATAACATACATTAATAATTAATATTTAGATTATTTAGGAAATTGTCATTTATCATTATTTGTTTTTTGTAAGTTCACTAATTGTTATTTATAAAACAAACTTTAAGGTTATCCCAGATACTTAATATCTACAATCACAAGCTGTTGTATGAGCTCTCATTGTATATGTCCACTTTTTTTTTTCGAAAAGAATCCCATTAATTTTGACTAAAAAAGAAAATAGCCAAAAGTTATAAATTGATTATTTCTTCTTCTACCTGGCAATTTCCCAGCTTTAGCCAGGGTCTGCCTTATATGTTGTGAATAGTTTTGGCTAATTGTTTTTACGACCGGCCGCCTGCCTGACATCAACTCTCTTTGGGGATGCATTAATCAGTGATGTCTAAATACTTTTAGGAAGTACATAAGACTCGTGAAAATCACATTGGTACTTGCCAGGATCGAACCCGCGCCCTCATGCATGAGAGGAAGGCTTTTTAACCACTAGGCCACCACTAACTTAACTATTTTTAATCCCTTATCCAATGGTATAAAAAATATCAAAAGATATTAGAGCATCGATGAAGATTTTTACCCACGAAACATAACGGTACAAGATTGTAAATAAAACACGATAAAATGTATATACGAAACTTTTTTAATAATAAGGTATAATATTTACATTGAGTTTATTAACAAACTTGTTACATGAATTATGGATAAGGTATTTGACCGTACCCACACAAACTATGCCACATCCACACTGACATTAAGGGAGATTGTGAAGTCAAACCTACTTATAATCTGTATCCTGGAATGTATACTATTTGAATTTGAACATTAACTTACGCAATTTTAATTATTCACGCCGTTTTTTTTTTGCTTAAGAGAATATGACTATGTCAAATATACGATCAGTAGAGAAAAAAAAACAATATGAAATATAACACCTTAATTAATTTTAATCCCTCGTTACACCGCTAGCGTCAAGTTTAATTAATAAAAAATAAATTAATAACAAATCAATAATAAATTATAATTTAAATAACATCACAGACAAACAATAATAAGTTTGGTTTTCGAGATTCCTTTTTTTTATTATTATTATACGTACTATACTTATGACAATTATCTAGACAATTCGCTTATCCTACGGCACTCGGTGAATTAAATTTAATTTGGACAAAATACACCATTTATTTTCCAACATTGACAGCTGTCTTAATCAAAATCCACAGAAAATATACTTATACATTGAGACATGGGATTAATTTCGTTTCGCACAATTGTATTTTAAAAAAGATATACATATTTTATTTCAATCCATTGCTTGTTATTCTGTTCCTTGTAATATATTTTACCAACAACATTCAAACATTACGTTTGGTGCTTATTTAAAAATTTCGTAGTGACAAATTCTTACCAAAACCGAGCGCCACCTTCAGGCGTATTTTATACCTGTCATTTGTCTAAACTAAACTAATATTTAGGACTTACTATATTTAATCGATATAACTGTACAAAACGCTTAATCATTCGCAAAAATTTTAACTATTCATTTTTTTTTTTATTATAACATTGCCAAGTCCGTTTTGAGCCGGGCATACGTACACGTTTTTGAAGGGTTTTACCGATGTAAAATCAGACGGTGTTACCGCATTATTGCAACCTCCCGCCTGCCAGCCATTTTCTAATATCATTTAACTATATGGCAATACAATCATTCAATGCATTTACTTTACTCTTACCTTAAATATTAATCGCTGCGCTATTGGACTAGGATACTGCGTGCCGGCAGTTTTTAACGCACTAGGAGTAAATAAGATTACCAGACAATTACCTACATACGTTACAGACATACATAAAATACAATATTGACTATTCAGAGGATCGTAGATTGCATTTTAATACCAAATATTATTTTTTTAATGTTACCAGTTGTTTAAACGTCGTCATGGTTACATTAATCTATATCTGGATATAGCTTAAATTTATAATGTCTTTTCCTTGTGATCTAGGTCCGTTCAGGAATTATCAGATATCCGAAATCCTTTGGACTAATTACCTATAATGTATTTATATATTGGTGACCGTCTATAAACGGCCACTGAGAAGTCTCGGTCAATCTATAACTTGAAACGTTGAGCGGAACAAAGCTAAATAAAAAATAACTCATATATTCGTTCATTACATTGGACAACTGAGTATCTTAACACGATAGTATACCCTTAGGAAGGCGATTATTCAATTACATACTCAAACACACGTATTTATTGAGATCGAATTCGGTTTAAATTTATCTATACGTTTTGTTTGTCGTCCATTTAATGATCGACGACTGACCAAGCGCTTCCGTTGTGAGAAGCCGACATCACACACGGCTAGGTCGATCGGTCAACGCTAGCCTGAGTACGGCGACCTCCGTGTGTCAGGCGGCCGTGAGGGCGTGAGGGGGGGCGGGCGCTGGATGGAGCGGCGCGGGAGGGGGGCTGTCCACTGTACCACACGCCTTCAACTCCGTGAACACTTCAGTGAAGAACCCAGGTTCCGAGTTGATTCTCAACATGTTGAAGGATAGCCTATCAACGATGAGAAGGCAGCGGTCCCAAAACTTATCCTTAGAATCCTCAACTAGGAAGGGTTTCAATGGATAGGAGATCTCGTTGCCCATGTAGGAGTATGAAAGGTAGAGGCAGGTGAGTACTACAGCTTGTAATTCTTGAGGACGAGCTATTCGCTCTCCGTCCACCAGCTCCCGGACAAGCATATACACGAAGACCACGTTAGCTGGATTGATGAACGCCACGTCCTGAAAAATATATAATTTCCTATTATTATACTATTATAATAACATTAGTACCTGAAGGCAAACAAATAATGAGCCGCAAAAGAAAATACGTCACCTAATCAATGGATTTGCTACGTTTTCTTTATTTGGTTTACTCATGAAAGGTAAAAATTACCCTTGCCCTTATTTCGATAGTTTCCATTCAAGATAACATCTACTAACCAACCTTGAAATGACTCATTGGTGTGTATCGATCTTATAATAATTGTATTAGAGCCCTACACGTGTCCAACAGTTGTGAAAGTCACGTTCTAGAAGTATCTTTCTGCTGTAAATTTTCTGTACAACATTTTGACAACCCTGTTTTCGTTTTGGCATTTGTAATATATATTCACTAACTCTTAAAAATCAATTATCAAACATTCTACTAAAATAATTTTATATGACAAGTTATATATTTAATTAATATATAGAAATAAACTAAATATTCTTTAAGCATGACTGTTCTAAACTCACTTTGGTATTTTCAGTGATAAGTTTTTACTGACATTATAATTAGACATATTATCCAATAACGCTCTGTTAGGTTCTGATAGCATTTGTCTCATTTTCCGACCCTCAATAATTTTGTTGATTAATTCTAAATCATTTTCTTCTTCGGTCTTTTGTCTTTTACTTGGTAAACCTAAGTCATCAAAGTCGATGTCATTGATGTCACCGAAAAGATCTTCAGCGGTTCTCTTAATTGGAATTGAGCTAATAATATCTGTTTGAGATTGAGAGCTTACTGATAAACTTGACTCATTTGCACTACTTTGTTGAGTATGTAAAGGCGGTTTTTGTACTGGACTTGAGAAATCCAGACTTCTCTTTGCTGGCAAAAACTTATTTTTGACTATTTTTGAATCTGTAATTCAAAAGAATATTATGTTAGCATCACATGCGTAATGTTTGGGAGTTATATCAAGTAACCGGCATATAACTGGATATACACTTAATTCTAAAGAATTATAGTAATAGTAATAAGTAATTTAATGACCTGTGCCATCATCAATCTCACGAATTAATTCAAGATCATCAGAATACATAAGTTCATATTCTTCATCAGGGTCTGGAAAGTCTCCCATGATAAAATTTTATAGAATAAATGATTTAAAAATTGTAGGGTGAATTTCTTTTGTATACTTGGGATGAAAACTTTAAATACACTACTCCAGTAACTGTACACTTTTTCTTAATATTTTTTTTATCACACTGAATTCTCTTATAATATAATTATTAGTCTATTTAACGTAAATAAAGGTATAAAAATAAAATAAATAAACAACATATGAAAAAACCGCCAATATAATTTTACTTTGACATTGACATTTCTAATTTGAAGTTGCCACATGGAAAATGTTGCAAATAATTATATAACCTATGGTTACCGCACTAATGTTAGTCACCTCCCAAGTTATATGAGTGTCGGGCCAAAAGAGAGAAAAAATATAATATATGTAACTCATTATGTCTTGATACAATACAATTGTATTCGTAAAGTGAAAAATATAAATATCCTACAATGGGTTTAGCTTTATTTAAATTATTACCACAATTAACAACATTGATTTCCCCTTAAATCTGCACATTTTTTCATAGAAGAAAAGACGAAAATTAATTAAAGACTAATTAAATCCTTTTAATGATTCTATATCGACGAAGCTCTATTTATGTAAGTGACCAAAAACTTCAACTTAACTGTTGTTACAGATGATTCAATTAAGAATCTAATATTCCAGGTCAATAATGTCCACAACAGATAACAGAAAATAAAAGTTAACCTATCTAAGTCTTGGCAAAAACGAACGTACCTGTTACAGTAGAGCAGAATTTAATACTGTTTCTATCCCAGGTTAGAGTTGCCAGATCGATTATTCCTGTTACCGGGACCAATAACCGATTTTTCGGTATTTTACGGCTTTGGTCGGGAGAAATAAAAAATAAGTTAATAATATTAATTATACATAATATATTAAGTAAACATATTTTTGCATTGCACTGTAGATATAACAAAAAAACATAGTAGGTATTATTGTCACATAAGATAAGAACCGAGTGAGCATGTTTATTGTTTTTGTTCTTGCCATAAGTATTTGTTTTTTTTACCACGTTTAACAACCGCGTTTTTGAGCTTTATCGCTATTCAAAAAGGTCTTAAAATTTAAAGCGTTACTAACTGGAATAGAAAATATAAAACATACAATTTTGGTTAAATTTTTAACTTCAACGCAGTTTCTTATAAAATATGCCCATAGCTTATCATTTGTCATTTTATTTTTTCTTCTGGAAGGCGATTTAAACTAAAAACTTCTTTTAAAGAACAATAATCACTATACAAATGGTCGGTGTCAATATCATTTACAATTTTTAATTTTTTTTTATAACTTCTAAGAGCTCACTCCATGTGAACAAAGTTTCTTTTTTTAATGAAAACTTAGATAGCATTTTGTATAAAGAATCCTCACTAAAATCAAAACGTTCTTTCAAATACCTGATGGCCCTTTGGGAAAACTGTTCTGCTTCTTTGTTAAAATTTTCTTTTTCGGCGTTTGGCAATTTTGTTAAAAGGGACCTATTTTTACTTCCATAAAATTTGTCCTGTAATCGGCTTTTTAGTTGGTTCAACAGCTTTCTCATAATACCATCTATTTCCAGAACAGTACATAAATCATTTTCCAATGCCGATATCGTCGACAGTATTACATCAGTATTCAGATGTGAACGGTTTGTTATCAAGAGTATCTTAACAGATACTTAAATAAGAAACAGGTTTATCCTTGTAATATATGCAACGCAAATTTCAAATAAACATAAGTATTTTATTAAAAAAAAAAATTGTGAACCTGTTTTTCGGGAGATTATTTGCTTTATCCCGCCAATTCCCGACCGTCTGGCAACCCTATTTAAAGTACTAACGTTCAAATATAATTAAAAAAAGAGTGTGTACTTATGTACACGTTAGAAGTTATACTTGTTTGGCGTAAAATTCAATCTCATCATTTTTCTGCATAGCGCCAAAAAGAGTGTTACTCCAATACTTGTATGATAATAAAGGAAATCACAATTATATAGGGTGGCAACTGCAGGTTCCAGGAAAACTACGAAAAATACTTATATGTATATTAAAATTTGAATTACATGTTAATACTTATAACCTATACCTAAGACTACATGATTGCCCCGATGTTAGGATGACAATGACATTCTTTTTCTATGGGAAAAGGGGGCAACCGAGCAGACGGCCTACTTGATGGTAGGTAGTGACCGTCGCCCATTGACATCTGCAAAGTAGATATGCAGATGTGTTGCCGCCCTTGTTTGGTTAAAATGGGGAGTAAAAGGTGGGAAAGGGAGGGAAATGAAAGGGTGGGAAAAGGGAAAGGGCATTCTATTGCTGGTATGGTGTAAGGAATCTTCTTGTTCACACGGCTTGTTGTCCGTTCCGTGGATTCAGCGGCGTCACTTGTTATAATGATATTTTACCGATACAAAGATGACTCCCCGGCGATGTTCATTTTTTTTCTTCATATGTAGCGCGTACGTGACACCACTCTAAATATTGACAATATTAACAACATTTTGACACAAAGAGTTTATGATTTTCTGTACAAAACAACTCACTGATATTGTCTTGGAAGATAGAACGAAAAGAAGAGAACTGAATAAGATATTTTAGAATGAGTAATTACATGAAATATTCAGGAAATAATAATAGTCGTTTGTGACAACAGAGTATAGAGTAATGTAAAATCTACGATCTAGAAATTACTTAAATTTTTTATATTTGCTCCGTGAATATATGTGGCAGTTTCTAATCTGTTTAATAATATTTTTTTGTGATATGGACGCAAAATTCAAAACTAATTACAACTACTTTAGTGTTTGATTACTTGCATCCGCTTTTTCTTTAAACAATAAGTTTGTCCAAATAAAAAGTATTAAACTTGAGTAAACTCGAGAAAGCCAAATAGCATACATTAATAATTAATATTTAGATTATTTAAGAAATTGTCATTTATCATTATTTGTTTTTTCTAAGTTCATTAATTGTTATTTATAAAACAAACTTTAAGGTTATCCCAGACACTTAATATCTACAATCACAAGCTGTTGTATGAGCTCTAATTGTATATGTTGACCTTTTTTTTTCGAAAAGAATCCCATTAATTTTGACTAAAAAAGAAAATAGCCAAAAGTTATAAATTGATTATTTCTTCTTCTACCTGGCAATTTCCCAGCTTTAGCCAGGGTCTGCCTTACATGTTGTGAATAGTTTTGGCTAACTGTTTTTACGACCGGCCGCCTGCCTGACATCAACCGTCTTTGGAAATGCATTAATCAGTGATGTCTAAATACTTTTAGGAAGTACATAAGACTCGTGAAAATCACATTAGTACTTGCCAGGATCGAACCCGCGCCCTCATGCATGAGAGGAAGGCCTTTTAACCACTAGGCCACCAATGACTTAATTTGACTATTTTTAATCGCTTATCCAATGGTAGGTATATAAAAGATCAAAAGATATTAGAGCATCGATGAAGATTTTTATCTACGAAACATAACGGTACAAGATTGTAAATAAAACACGATAAAATGTATATACGAAACTTTTTTAATAATAAGGTATAATATTTACATTGAGTTTATTAACAAACTTGTTACATGAATTATGGATAAGATATTTGACCGTACCCACACAAACTATGCCACATCCACACTGACATTAAGGGAGATTGTGAAGTCAAACCTACTTATAATCTGTATCCTGGAATGTATACTATTTGAATTTGAACATTAACTTACGCAATTTTAATTATTCACGCCGTTTTTTTTTTTTGCTTAAGAGAATATGACTATGTCAAATAAACGATTAGAAGAAAAAAAAAAACAATATGAAATATAACACCTTAATTAATTTTAATCCCTCGTTACACCGCTAGCGTCAAGTTTAACGAATAAAAAATAAATTAATAACAAATCAATAATAAATTATAATTTAAATAACATCACAGACAAACAATAATAAGTTTGGTTTTCGAGATTCCTTTTTTTTATTATTATTATACGTACTATACTTATGACAATTATCTAGACAATTCGCTTATCCTACGGCACTCGGTGAATTAAATTTAATTTGGACAAAATACACCATTTATTTTCCAACATTGACAGCTGTCTTAATCAAAATCCACAGAAAATATACTTATACATTGAGGGATGGGCTTAATTTTGTTTCGCACAATTGTATGTTAAAAAAGATATATTTTATTTCAATCTATTGTTTGTGATTCTGTTTCTTGTAATATATTTATTCAACAATATTCAAACATTACGTTTGGTGCTTATTTAAAAATTTCGTGGTGACAAATTCTTACCAAAACCGAGCGCCACCTTCAGGCGTATTTTATACCTGTCATTTGTCTAAACTAAACTAATATTTAGGACTTACTATATTTAATCGATATAACTGTACAAAACGCTTAATCATTCGCAAAAATTTTAACTATTCATTTTTTTTTTATTATAACATTGCCAAGTCCGTTTTGAGCCGGGCATACGTACACATTTTAGAAGGGTTTTACCGATGTAAAATCAGACGGTGTTACCGCTTTATTGCAACCTCCCGCCTGCCAGCCATTTTCTAATATCATTTAACTATATGGCAATACAATCATTCAATGCATTTACTTTACTCTTACCTTAAATATTAATCGCTGCGCTATTGGACTAGGATACTGCGTGCCGGCAGTTTTTAACGCACTAGGAGTAAATAAGATTACCAGACAATTACCTACATACGTTACAGACATACATAAAATACAATATTGACTATTCAGAGGATCGTAGATTGCACTTTAATACCGAATATTATTTTTTAATGTTACCAGTTGTTTAAACGTCGTCATGGTTACATTAATCTATATCTGGATATAGCTTAAATTTATAATGTCTTTTCCTTGTGATCTAGGTCCGTTCAGGAATTATCAGATATCCGAAATCCTTTGGACTAATTACCTATAATGTATTAATATATTTGTGACCGTCTATAAACGGCCACTGAGAAGTCTCGGTCAATCTATAACTTGAAACGTTGAGCGGAACAAAGCTAAATAAAAAATAACTCATATATTCGTTCATTACATTGGACAACTGAGTATCTTAACACGATAGTATACCCTTAGGAAGGCGATTATTCAATTACATACTCAAACACACGTATTTATTGAGATCGAATTCGGTTTAAATTTATCTATACGTTTTATTTGTCGTCCATTTAATGATCGACGACTGACCAAGCGCTTCCGTTGTGAGAAGCCGACATCACACACGGCTAGGTCGATCGGTCAACGCTAGCCTGAGTACGGCGACCTCCGTGTGTCAGGCGGCCGTGAGGGCGTGAGGGGGGGCGGGCGCTGGATGGAGCGGCGCGGGAGGGGGGCTGTCCACTGTACCACACGCCTTCAACTCCGTGAACACTTCAGTGAAGAACCCAGGCTCGGAGTTGATTCTCAACATGTTGAAGGATAGCCTATCAACGATGAGAAGGCAGCGGTCCCAAAACTTATCCTTAGAATCCTCAACTAGGAAGGGTTTCAATGGATAGGAGATCTCGTTGCCCATGTAGGAGTATGAAAGGTAGAGGCAGGTAAGTACTACAGCTTGTAATTCTTGAGGACGAGCTATTCGCTCTCCATCCACCAGCTCCCGAACAAGCATATACACGAAGACCACGTTAGCCGGATTGATGAACGCCACATCCTGAAAAATATATAATTTCCTATTATTATACTATTATAATAACATTAGTACTTGAAGACTAACAAATAATGAGACGCAAAAGAAAATAGATCACCCAATCAATGGAATTGCTACGTTTTCTTTATTTGGTTGACTCATGAAAGGTAAAAATTACCCTTGCCCTTATTTCGATAGTTTCCATTCAAGATAACATCTACTAACCAACCTTGAAATGACTCATTGGTGTATATCGATCTTATAATAATTGTATTAGAGAACTACACGTGTCCAACGGTTGTGGAAGTCACGTTCTAGAAGTATCTTTCTGCTGTAAATTTTCTGTACAACATTTTGACAACCCTGTTTTCGTTTTGGCATTTGTAATATTAAAAGTCGAATATTAGAAAAATAGAAACGGTTCTTTTATTCTTTTCATTAACTAATATTAAGTTTCTGTGTTATTAAACATCGTTTTATTAATTCGGTTTATAAATACTAATATTTTAAATGCTTATTTACAGATTTCTTACTGTTAAGAGTAAACCAGACAAAACATATATATACGTCTTTAAATAAATTAAACTCAAACTCAATCTACCTAAGCTATATAAAATTACATAAACATTATCTTCAAAGTATTTACCAAATGTTTTTTTTATTTACTCAGTAAATAACAAAAAAATTACATTCAATTTTACAACGATACAACTTCAACTATAAGTTATACAGTAATGGCTTTTTCATCAGGAAATGCTAATAAAATTTCAGTGTTACTTATCACGAACAAAAATGCCTAAAATTTTCATAGGAATATATACAAAATAACCAAGAACCAAAGGGAATTTATTAGCAAATTGTATTCTAGATGATATAATGTTTCAGAGATCAACAGAAAACGACAAATATTTAATACAAACCCCAGCGGGTCGATAGGAAACCCTTCGCTCAAATTTAGCAACGACGAGGGTTTCTACGACGTAAACAAGAAAACTGTACACAGATTATATAACAAAATAAACAAATGAAAGGCGCTCACAAAAACTTTGTTATTCAAAAGAGTTCAATATGAATACAATTCATTCACGTTACATCCAAAAATATATTTTTTGCAATCAGTTTTCTTTTGTTTTGTGTGAAACAATGGAAGTTACATTAAGCTTTCAGTTAGCTTTCTGTCTTTACCAAACTTCAGAACCAAAAAGTTACCGATAAAAACTCTCGTGATCATATATAAATACGTTTAATTGATTTTTAAACCTGGTAACACTGTAATTATGGTGTATTACGTCAGACTCAAAAGGACTAGTATCAAGAGCGGTAAAAAACATGTATTACGTCATGAAATTCATTGTATAGATTAAATCATAGAATTCCTTAATGTAAAACGTGTCTCTGTTTATCGATCGCATTTCTTTCATGGTTCCTCAACCCCATGAACACGCAATACAACCATCCCTCTCTACGGGGTACGTAGTATTGATTTAGGACCCATACATTTTGAATGAGCCCATCAACTGTGTAACTTTTGATATACGTTTCAAGTAAGACACTTATATTGTTAGACGCCTCGATTATCCTTCTATATTAAATACAAATGTGAATGGACTAAGTCATAGTACATATTATTGGTAACTGTAAAGGCTTTTCATATCTTTTATTATTGGGATTACACAATATATGAAGTTGTTCGTAAGTAAAATACAGCTGGGTAGTTGTAACGTAATACAAATTCTAATCAATCCCAAATACATCCTGCTTATTCCAATTAATTTATTGGAATGTATTATTTAGGTTTTTAATGTTACGTAGAGTGCAACAACGATTAATGTTTATATCATAAGTATAAAAATATTCTCAATAATCCCTGCTTTTTAAAAGTGTTATTGAATTCTATTCATAAATTCCTTTGAATCTGAGACGAATATATGTAAAATAAATAGTTGTAATATAAAAACTACTCCATTTTAACACTGATCACGAACTAGCTGTCCTACTTTTTTAAAATTTCAACTGGATAGTGCAAGTTATTTCACCTGTTAAGAAATGGAAAGTTCTAATTACTTAATTCCCGCTTTTCTTGGGACTCCCAAATTTCAAAGGAAACAGTGATACAGACAAAATATTTCAATTATTTTACGATGACCATTAGGGAGGACGAATGCCGCCACTTCGACCGGATGTGAGGAAGGTTTACAACGAAAGTATTATTGTACATTGTACATGTTGTGACAGAAAGAGAATGCACAAATTAAAGCGTAATTCCTGGTCATCTCTTTACAGTGAATCCTGTAGAATAAGAATAAGAAATGCTAAGAATCGCAATTTTTAGCCTGTGCTGTAGGCTAAATTGAGGGATTTTAACCAAATCATGGCCAGTCTTTTTGAGCTTTCAGTACCTGTTCGTTAATAATACGGACCTCTATTATAAAAAACGCAGACAGGATAGCGAGGTGATGTGTGATTTTTGCTGTTAAGACTTGAATTTTAAGGAAAAAGAGAATCGAATATTGAAATACTTTTACACAAGCGGAGGACTTTAAAGGAATCAAACGTTTTTTTATACTATATTTACTAAGAGTTACAGCAAAAATTCGTACTAAAAAACAATAACGATCATATATAAATATACTGCTAATACCTGGTACTAATTGGGGTTGCTCATGCAGTGACAATCTGGTGGTTCAACAGAGCCAGCGGTTGCTCAATTGTTATTGCATGTAATGTGCTAAGTATGCTGGACAAACGTGCCAATATTATAAAAGCGAAAAAGGACGTCCATTATTACATTATTACACTTTATTTTGATTGTATTGATGAAAATTTACTCTTATTGTAGCTTAGACCTCACAATGACGTATGGGTCATTATTTATTTCAATGTTCCGTGGAGTTTCCGCCGGTCAAGGCGTATCATTTGTAGGAAGTTATATAACACGGACTATGTTTAGTTAATATCAGCTATTTTCCAAAAAATTTTTATGTAAGACAATTTTGGTGTGTGATTACGTAGGGAATTAATGCATGGGGATTTTTAAATTAAAGAAAATATTGTTTTTTTTTCTTTTTATATCAATAATATTTTTTAGGTGGTAGAGCCTAGCTGTGGTCAGTTACTACAGCTCGAACATGAGTTGGATAGACCTAGAGCGTCGCCAGCTCACCACAGTGGTTGGCGCAGACCTATCGTTGCCGGCTGTGGTTCAGGCCATGGTCGGTAGCGAGAGGGCCTGGGAGGCGATGGTCAAGTTCTGCGAGTACGTGATCTCGCGGAAAGAGGCCGCAGAAGACGACCCTTCCTCGGCGCCCTTGCGTCGACATAGACTGGGTCGAAGGCAGCGGGCATATGCCCGCGACCTGCCTCCCCAGTGAGGAGCCTCCGGGCGTCGGTGGGGAACCGGCGTCCGGGTAACATAGGCCTGAGGAAAAGCGGCGTATTTGGCGTTCCTGGCATGCTGTTCTTGAGTCGGAGGGGTGGTGTGGTCTAGCCACTGATACCCCTGCCGATGGCAGAGTCCCTTTCGGAACTTGTGTGTAGTGAGCGGAAGCATGGCTCGCCGTTCCCGCTCACTAGCTTACGCACTGCGCAAGAGAACGCCGAGGTGGTTTAGTGGGTGGAAATCCCACACGCCCCTGTCGCGTTTCCCCCGCGACAGGAAGTCTTTAAGAAGATTCCATTCGATAAAAAAAAAATGGGTTAGATAGACCGGAAAAGTACCACTCTCTCACAGAAGATTGGCCTGAAGTAGCCTTTAATGGCTGCATTTCCTCCGATGAGTGAGAGAGCCGGTTGCCCTTACACCTATTCCCACCCTTTCCTACCATTTCTTTATCCCCACCACTCCCTATCCCTCAAAAAATAAGGTTGGCAACGCATCCGCAACAAAAATGTTGCGGATGTCCATGGGCGACGGTAACCACCTTCCATCAAGTGGGCCGTCTGCTGGTTTGCCACCTTTCACATAAAAAAAAAATTTAATCGTGTAAAAAATTTAACCTACTTGAGAAAAACTTAGATATCATTTGTTAAAATAAGATGTTTTTTATTCAAATACTTTTCTTCAAAATACATAATGTAATAAATTTAAGTAAATAATAATTAACGTATCATGAATTCAAGTTACAAATCTAATATTTAGAAAATCTAGAAATAAATCTGTTGTTAATTATAAAATAAAAAATGTTTTAATATAGTTTAAAAAAAAAAAATAATAATAAAAATAACCCTATATTGCAATCGTTAAAACATGCCCGTAGTCTGAGTAAGAAATAAATCCTCAAAATAAAAATTGAATGTACTGATTTTAATTTCATTTAAATATCTTTCCTAAAAGATTTATAATTACTCCCTATACTAATTTTTATAATTTTTAAATCATCTCGTATATAAAATACTTTATGTAAATATGAAAAATTTCTGACACATTATAAATCTTATAATTGTATGTGGAATTGAGGCTTCTATTTATAACAAAAATTCTACAGTTATAAATATATGTATACCGATAATTTATAATTCTAAACAACTTGAAAATGTTCGAAGAACCTTTTTATTCTAACAATTTCACCTTAATGTTCCAATAAGAAAATAATAAACAATTTTAAGACCCTTGTCACATCAATCACTATTCAATATTTATTTTCAATAAAACACCTTATTTTTTCGTCCGATATAATTGTGATGGTATTTCAAAGTACTTTGCTCTATTAAAATAAAATAAAAATAGTGTAGTTTCTGAAATCGTAATGAACACGTTTTAAATTGATTTTAGATTTATGCATAAATATTGTATACATTTATATAACAAATAATTAAAGTTTTAAATTACGTAATACATATTTCAGGCAGATTATAAAAAGATTTTTGTGCCTGTTAAATGTTTATAACTGTTAATATGGCAACTCTAATGAAATCTGAATGGTCATACCAGACAGCTAACTAGACAACTTATTATTTATGTGAAAAAAATATCCTCATCAAACATTATTCATTTTTACATCTACATACGTAATTAGAACTCATACTTTTTAGTTATAGTAATTCCTTCATATTTGAGTCACAACAGGTATGAAATCATCAAGTCTCTTTTAGGACACCAATTTACAAAACGTTAGAAAGAAATTTACAGTTAATAGTTGTATTAAATGTAATATACACATATTAATGATTAATTAATAATACAGTAATAAATATTACGAGTTATCTTTATAAATCCTTTCATCCACCGTATTGAGGATCGTCGCCCTTAGTTTGTTGACATAACTGAACGCGTCGCTAGATGGCGCTTCTCAACAGACCACTTAGCATAATACTTGACGCAATGTCAAAAATTTCGCGTTTACAGAATCGCTTAATAAGCGTAAAAAACGATCGATATCTTTGAAATACTTTATTGATGAACAATGTCTCATTTTTTAAATCATATATCTAAAAATTTTACAAGGAGTGTACAGAATCCTTATTTTGGAGGGATTACAAAAGAATTTGTGTGGACAGAATGATTCTTAACCATAATATAGATTATTACATCACTTTAATACAAAAATATATAATTTATAAAAGTGAAGCGGTAGTAGCAAGGTTTCCACACCATTTATTACTACTTTTTTCCCCTGAAGCCACCCTAGCAATTTGGAGCTGGGGTTTGGAATTGCCGTCTACATAAATAAAATCAGCTATTGCGTAAGATAGATAAAATCTCTTGTAACGAATACCACATGTTATTAAAGACGGAACATTATTATTACCGTCTAGAAACTTAATTACCTCGATTCGTGATGTTTTAAGAATACACGAATACATTTGTGCACATTTTGGAACAAATGAATGCCTTAATAGAAGTATTGAACTAAACCGAGTGGAAAAATCACGTGCAAAATATAAAATCAATATGTGCTGCTAATATTTATTAATCTTTATGTTGCCAGTCTAATAAACACGTCGCCGCCACCGTCCAGTCATAGACAATACATATCGAAGCCCCAGTAATGTAGTCTGTGTTCACACAAACAACTGTTGTTTTTAAATACAACAGTATGAAGCATGATAATATTTACGTTTTGAACAATTCAACCAAACATTATTAGGAAATAAAGAGGACTATGGATCTAGTCGAAAATTTTTGCTACAAATCGTGTTAATATAAGTATATTATTAAATGAAACTAATATTATTGGGATTATTATGCGTATTTTATTATTAATAAAAACTACATACTCCCAACTTTTTGATTACTTTTCATTAAACGTGATCACGGTTACTTAAAAGTAAAATACGCGTAGTAATCCCAAAAATATTAGTTTCATTTAAATGAATAATCACGAAAGTCTTAGATCTCATTAAGTAGATATATAGTTGTTTTATTTACCTGCCAACCTTGCAGGAGCAGCGAGCGGTCCACCGTCCTCAGCCACATGACCGCGTCTCCGGCCTGGAAGTCTCGCAGGCGGTGACAGCGCGCGTGCAGGAACATGCCCAGGCACTTGAGTAGTTCAGAAGTAGACGCCTGGATGACCGTCTTCCTCGGAGCGGCCACCGGCGGGCCCACCGACGTCGGCAACTTCTCATAGCACACATTGTTGTTGAGTGCGTTCGTCCGCGCGACCTCCGCGGCCGGCAGCGGCGCCACGGCCCTCGCGTACGTGACTCCTCCCAAGCTGACATTCTTGTTCCTGTCCAGCGGCGCGTTGTCCGTCAACGGAGCCCGGTACGTGGACACGCTCTTGCTCTTGCATTCTAACTTCTTCTTGTTGTTGTTGGCGGTGGAGAACCTCTTCCAGGACAAGGCGTTGATGAACAGCGAGTGCTTCTTCAAGTTCTTCTCCAGCGCCGTCTTCTCGGAGATGATCTTGGCCGCGTCGTCGAGTGTGGCGCGTCGCTCGTCCCGCGGCAGGTCGCGGTTCTCTCTGTTCTTGGCGTTGTTGAGTCTCTCGTAGGAGTACGCGAGGGCCGCGCGGTCGGGCGGCGGGGCAGCAGATGGCGGGCGCCGCTCGCGCGGGCTGAAGCTCAGCACGGTGCCCATGAGGCCCGCGCGCGTGTGTCCGCTAGGTGCCCGCATGCATCGCGTGTGCGGCGAGCGATGGCAGCGGCCCTTTTGCGGGCTCGATAGCGCCGCGCCTGCGCCCTACGAGGGGTATCGACCGCGGCGCGCGCACCCGGCGGCGACGCCCCGACGCCCTGCTGTAAACACCGACTCCGTAAATCACGAATTACCTAGCCACTCGATTCTAATTAAGTCCCTTCTCTCCGGCCGGCCATTCCTAATTTGACTGTAAGGGTTAGGCTATGTTGCTCTCTACGTGGTTTCCCTGCCGTACATAGTATCAGGTGCAGTCGTTATATAATAATGCGGTATAACATCCCACGACTATAATCGAGTCTTCTCAATAGTCTCCGTAGTATTTTCGTCTTCTAAATTCAACCTACATCCGCATCGCCTGACCTGAATACAATTTTCATTAAAAAATACTTCTTAATTCGAAGCCTCGCTGCCACGTTTACGAGTGGAATCAAACTTTTTTATTACAATATTATTTCAGAACGCCTATAATATATTGTTGTTTATAATTAAACGACATTTCATTATATACAATAACATAACAAAATATATGTTTAGTATAACTTAATACCTTTTGAACAAATAATATGAATTCCTTAACATAGTCATCGTCATTAATGACAAATGGAAGTAAAAGAATTGAATTTTTATTAAGTAACACTGACTAAATCGCTGAATTAAGGAAATTTATCAATGTTTATGTGCCCCAGAATCTGATAATGTAATTTTGAATTTGCTGTTGCTAACAAGATAAAATTTTACCACGACCGCAAAATTAAAATGAGAGGGTTAATACGTGGTCTTATTTTAGAGAGGGGACGAAACGTTAGCTTATTACGAAGATCTTATGAATATAGCTTGCTTTCGTTTATTTACATTTATTTGTTTCGGTAGATCTTTTAAGTAGTTAATATTCCACTTATATATTAATAAGAATTAACTAAATGTCTTTTTTTATATTTTTTTACGATTATCATCACAAGTAAAACACAAATTCTTTCACACAAAACCAAACCTAACTAAGATTATATCATCTACTTACAAATTATATTTAATCTGTATTTTTTGTCATTTTTGATCTGTCATTTTTATTCCTTCGCCATTTTGTATGTCATTTGGTTTTAATATAAAACCTCATTACAATGTAAAATATATTCGTTACATTTTCCGTCAATATTAGTCATAGAGGTCTCATCGCTCCGTCGCGTCATATTACATTAGGGGCGGCGTTATAACTTTGTTTATTACATGGAAATAACTCGAGTTAACACTCGTTCGGACTTTGATTATATATTAACGAATTATGAGTATTTTGAGCAACCAAAATCAATAATATTCTTATAGTTAGATTGTATGTTCGTTATAATTACAATGCAGAGAAAGTTATTAAAAAATCTTTGCTTATTCGACGTTGGCTTTCAATAAAGCATTGTATCAATTCCTTTGAGAAAATTTTTTACAATGCTTTTTTATTGTTTAAGATTATATTGATTGATACGTAAGTTGTTTTGTTTATATATTTATTATGTATAAAAATATATTATGGGACAAATATAGGCCAATAATACATAAATTAAAGTGGAAACAAAAAAAAGATTTTGAGGAATTCGTTTTTTTTAATCAAACAACAAAATAAATACTTAATAAATTATAAATTTTTATTGGCATTTTTTTAATAGCAATGTTGAATAAATCTTTTTTTCCACCTCTGAATTTTTTTTTGCGTTTAAAAAAAGAAACGGTGAAATATAAGAAACACTTCTACTTTCTACCTTGTATTTTAAATTCTTTTGCTGTAGGCCACTTTTTCGTGAGGTCAAGGCTTTCCTCATATATTTGAGTTGTGTATTTTTCTTGAATTGCTAAGCAAATTACTTAGAGTTCATTCTGACTCATATATATTGTGTATCGGCAAGCGTCCAAACTAATGCATACTACCTTGAAGTCAGTGTTCCAACTTGACGTGATTACAGAACCGAAAACTTAAGTGATCAGTAAACTATACTTTCACACAACGAAATTGGATAATCCCATATATTTAACAACAAAAATACGAATATATAGAGAACCTTTAAAAAAAGTCTACTACTATTTTGAATTGTATACAATCATTGCATAGAAATAGAGTTAGGAAATGAAAAAATGGTTCTCGTTATAATGGTCCATAAGATATGTATAAAATCCTTTCACGTCTCAAAAAGGACATTAAATTGATCCTGCCATTCAACCTCACTATAGTCTTTTTCAAAAGGTTTTCATTTAAATGAAAATAATATTTTCGGATTACTACGCGTATTTTATAAAAAACTACATACTCCCGACGATTTGGTTACTTTGTAGCAACCGTGATCACGGGCAGATGAAACGTAACGTAAATGACTACTTTCGAAATTCTTAGATCTTATTAGTGTTGTACTTACTAATAAAAGAAAAGTATTAGTTCTTACATATCAGTCACATCAAAATGTTAATAAAATAATTTTATTACAATAACAAAAAGCAAGAGTATTGTTTATTGAAAACATTCTCAAAAAATTCTTGTTTTATTATTCCTATCAAAATTTTTACAACAAAAGAGTCAAAGAAATGTTTAATTCTCATAGCAAATAAGTAGTTTTCTGTGATGTGTATTAAAAGTTCAGTTAAGTGTCTTAATGCTACAGTAACTTTGTAATTATTAATTTAAAATAGCTAATATTAAAATGGCTTCTGTATTATTTCATGAATGTATGGATAAAGCTGTAAATAACAATACAATTCTTTGATATTATTATAGCTAAAATAAAACTACGACTTTTCAAACTTAAACAGGTTATATAAAACATTATTTTTCATTTATTAAGTATAAGAATTAGAAAACTCTAAGGAATTGTATCTGTATTTCACACAATATACTTCAGAGAAAGACATCGATCGAAAAATTTGCATTATTTTTTGTCTCACTTGTATACGAAGAAAAAAAAGAGATAGAATACACTTAATTTTGATATTAGGAAAGTTTTCCTTATCTATAAATTTGGTAGCGTGTAACATTGCTATGTTGAGAGAAAGAAATAAAAGACTATTTCAGTCTTATTAAACCAGGCTGTACCTTAAATTAGTACCTTAAATTAGCGTTTAAACGTGGTCCAAACAATGAAGAACAATTATATTTTTCACGTGACTATAATTACGCTGAGATTTTGTATTTTAAGCATTTAAAAGCTCTAAACTTAAGTCGTTTAGTTTCTTGTGTTAAGAGTCCATTTAGTACAATTACGAAGAAGTCCCCAGTTTTTATTTCTTTCAATGTTACATTTTTACTCTACTATTACCTAAGAATTTCTTCTACTTCTTCTACCTGGCAATTTCCCAGCAATAGCCAGGGTCTGCCTTACAAGTTGTGAATAGTTTTGGCTAATAGTTTTTACGACCGGGCGCCTGCCTGACATCAACCCTCTTTTGGGAATCAGCATTAATCAGTGATGTCTAAATGCACTTAGAAAGTACATATGACTCGGAAAAATCACATTGGTACTTGCCAGCGCCAGGATCGAACCCGCGCCCTCGTACATGAGATCCAGGCCTTTTAACCACTAGGCCACCACTGACTTAAACTTTACTTACTACTATTACCTAAGGGTTTATTACCAATAAATTTTACTGTCGGTGATTCCATTACGCCAGTTCCTGTATGAAGGTGTTTAATACTAAGTATATCAGTGAAACTTGATAATTGATATTTTTATAGCGAGTTAAAAGAAAAATGAAACAAAATGGACGAATTCACATTTTATATTCCTTCAAAACTTTCAACAACAAACGCAAACACAGACGCACATATGCCCAAGGAAATGTACAATACGGGTTAGCCATGAACAAAGCTGCGTGCATAAAATAGACCATCAATTTTTAGTTTAATATAAATAACATAGCGAAACTTGCAAGTACCAATATGATTATTCCCAGTCATATGTACTTTCTGTGAGTATTTAGACATCACTGACATACGGTGAAGGAAAACATCGTGAGGAATGATGATGGCATTCATAATTTACTGTAAATGAAACGATAGTTTTAATTTTTCTCAATTAAAATGAAAGTAAATATTACATTTTTGTAAATATTTATTATTAACGGATGTTCATATTCATTTGGATATCGTCTAAGATTATTTCATGTAACGCTTGAATTGGATTAACATATTATATGCTCTTTAATGGTATAACAGATTTACAGAAGTTTTACAGAAGTACATTGTCATAATATAGGTAGTCAAAGAAATAAAGCAAATAATCTCGTTCCCTCTAGGTTTCAATGTAAAGTATAATTTATGTTTCAAGGAATATAATATCAGTATATGCTTCTATAGGTACTTATTTAATTATTATCTATAAGTAGACTAGCCAACTACCCTAGCTTCACACAAACACTACTGCATTTATTTATTAATTGTCATAGAATTGCAAGAAGACAATTCTTTTAAGATATAAATGTCCTTAATGCAAGTCAAGCTTCAAATCCCGTAGTAGTAGTACAAGTTACAAAATCACTTCAAATACCAACACACCGGCAAGACTCACTCTAAATTGTATGTTACTCACACCAAACTGTAAGTTACTCACAGTAAACTGTAACTTACTCACGCGGAACTGTAAGTTACTCAACTTACTTTACATTACTACTAATCAGTTCTACAAAACTTAAAAAACTGCCTAATGTCCTATAACACATATATACAGAAATACAATGTGTACATATTTCAGAAACTCAATGTATTTTGAATTTTCCCCGTATTTAAATCATTCCAATGGAAAATTACGCTGGTGCATGATCATACAGGGTTTATACTTTCCTTAGAAAATTACTTCAATTGAGTACAGGCCTATGAAACCCTATGGCGTACAAATTTACAAGTGGAAAAAAGAGAAGTCTTAAGTTATATATACCTAAAAATGAGTAAGAATTAATAGTATTTGACCTATCGAAAGCTATCAATGGTTTTGTTTAGAAAAATACAC